TATTAATGGGAGAGATCAATTGTGCTTTGGGTGTGGAAATATTAATGGGAAATCCTGCTTTGCTCTGACAAGGAGGATCCCTGACACTTTCCCAAGGCACCAGACTTTAATGGATGAATCCTGAGTGCTTTCCCAGAGGCACAGATGAGAGATTTTCCCTTCCAGGCTCTAATGCAGCCTAAAAGTGTAAAGAATGGATGCAGCCACGTGTGCCCCGCTCGGCCACGCACCGTAAGAGGCTCAGGGGAATCGGGGATTCCAGCTGCAGCCCGGGATGAGGAATCAGGGAGTGAATCCGGCTGGAACATCTCACCCRCACACACCAGAGCCGTGCCACACACACATTAATTATCCTAACGAGCCCACAGCCTCCTGCTCCCGAGGCCACAGCTCCAGGGATTCCCTGAGGACATCCCATCAGAGACAGGACACAGCTCCCCAAAACCACAGCACACCAAACCCCAAAACCCCACGGCAGAGGGGCCGTGCAGGACTATGGGATGACACATCCCCTATAAATCCTTTCTACGGACATCACTGGGAGCAAATCCTTGCTCCCCATCCCGAGCATCAAACCCCACCAAAATCCCGAGAGCGGGATATTCACACCCAGAAATACAGATGGGATTCCAAACATGCACTCAAGAAAGGCCTTGGCAATGGAATTGTTATTCCRTGGAAAAGGAAAATCCCACTCCCAGCCACCCAAACTCCAGCTGGGATCAGCCTGGACCCTGCTCCAGGGGGTGGCATGAGGGGTCTCCCACACCAACAAAACTTTCTTCTCATTCCCATCTCTCCTTTTCCCTTTTTTTTTTTTTTTTTTTTTTTTTTTTTTTCCTGCACCTTTATGAGATTCCCCAATTCTCCAGAATAAAAAACCATCCGTGCAGGAATACACAGAATTATCTCCTGGACACCCTGAGCAGTGGGAACGTGAATCCATTTAAGCACCAACAGCAACAAAACACCCTCATTTCTAACCCAACTGGGAATAAAAACCATGGGGGCAGAATTGGGGATCTCCACTCTTCTCTCATGAATCCATAAACTCTTCACTCAATGGCTTCAGAGAATAAATCAATTTTTACACTCGGGTTTTTACTAAAAAAGAAAATTCTAATCTATTTAAGCATTGGAATATTGCTCCAAAAACTTGAGAGACAAATCCAGTTGCTGTGGCACAACTCCACGCAAACCCTGCCTTTTCAGCTTCTGCTTCAGAAATCATTTTTATAAACATTTGATTTTAGAAAATGAACTGATAAGAATGGTGAAAAAAGAAAAATCAGCTTTCTGGATCTTTGGATCCAGCCATAAGCAGCAGATCAGCTTAATTTGCCTTATTTTCCCCCTACAAAAGGTGGAAAATGCAGCTGTGGAGTAGCCAGGGATCCCAGAACATGGTTCTGCACGAGAACATCAC